TGAAGGCAGCAGCGCTGACCAGGAAGGGTAAGCAGTGTGAGCATCGTGCGACTGGCTGACTTCTCCTCGGTGGGTCGGCTCTCTGACCTCCAACCCCCAATGGGAAACATTTGCAGGTTGGTTTATTGTGCTACAGATCCCATCTGACCTTCCCTCTCAAAGAAACAGAAGATTAACTGGTTCCCAACCTTCTATTTTCTACCTTTCTGGGTCTCTTGAAGTCTTTCAATGATTTTCATGATATAGTGTGTAGCACAGGGGTCTCAGACTACAGTGTGTGGCTCATATGTGGCCTGCTATTTCTTTATGTGCTGTGAGCTAAGAATGTTCTTCACCTTTTTAAGTGGTTGAAAAAAATAAAAAGAATATTTCGTGAAAAACTATATGAAATTGAACTTTCAGTGTCCATAAGTAAGGTTTTTAGAACACAGCCAAACCCATTCCTTCATGCTGTTTACACTGTAATGTTGTTACAGTATAGCTGTTTTTGTATCTCAGAGTTGAGTAGTAGTGACGGCAGAACATATGACCCACAAAGCCTAAAACTTATCCTGTCTGGCCCTTTACAGTTTACAGAGAAATTTAGTTTTTTTTTAACCAACCCCTGGTTTAGCATAAAAGGCAGGCTACAGAATCACTCTATTTGCATAATCACCTAATACACACTAAAATGCGGCTAAAATCACATGCAATTATTTGAATTGTTTCCCACCAAACATGTTCAGCATAAAAGTATAACATACATTTAAAAAATTAGGAAAATAACATTGTAAGTATTTATCCTGTCTTACTGTGGGCCAGATCATTTTTCTTGTTGACGTGCTTCATTTCCCCTGGTCCCCTTCCCACCCCCATGCATAGGGATCACTCTACCTCTGTTCTCCAGAGGAGGAAAGGGAGGCTCAGGGAGTTTAAGTATTGCCCAAGGTCACACTGCTAGTTAGAAGCACACTGCATGTTTATGGTGGAAATACACTTAAGAAACAAAAGGAGAACAGGTTGAAACAAGTTTGTTGAGGAAGAGTGTTTTATTTGAATTCATAGGAGACCAATTCTAACAGATAATAAAGAACTTAGAGAGGCTTTGAGCAGCCTGGTGTCTAGTCTTACCTCAACAGTGGGGTATAATGTGTGTAGAAGTACCTGAAAAATGGCAGAGCACTGTACTAACGAAGGCTGTCTATTCAGAAATTGGTCAAGGCACAGCCTGCGGACTTCCTAATATTTCCCATCAAATCTTTTTTACGTTAAAAACAACATAAATGTCAAGAAGTGAGGACTGGTTGGCTAAACTATGGTGCTTCCACACAATGGAATACTATGTAGCAATTAAAAAACCAGGTGATAATCATATTGTTGCTGGTAGTGTTGGCACTGGGTTCTGAGACTGCTCTCTGGTAATGGAGGATAAAGTTAATGAGTAATGACGTGAAGTACGAATGCTACCATCCGTGGCATCCTTGAGAACCAGGATTCCCAGCATAGAGAAAGGAGGCACAAATATAAAAAGAAAAGGTTAAATAAAATCCCCTATAATTTTCACTTTGAATAGAAAGTATCGGTATGAACATATGATGTATTTTTTCACAAACAACAACCACTAATTTCCTAGCTCTATCCACTGAAAAGACCTAGAAATGATGACCAACCCAGGAATCATGAGCACCGTCAAGTGCCCAGATTATGGTCTCTAAAAACCATTTCCCAATAAGAGAAATTAGGGGTCCTTGGAGAAATGGCTGATTCCAAGTCTGAGGAAAGGCCTGGAATATCTTAGCTTCCTTGCTATTTATTTGGATGACATCAAAGACTATGAGGATCGTGTTAAAGGGAGCCACTGGCTAGAGATGCCACAATCTAAGCATCAATAAAAATAATAAACAAAATGGACTAAAACACATAAAATATATTTAAACTTATGAGTTTACAAAGATACTAAAAACAAAACAAAAAGCCCTAACTGGTCACCAGTAGAAGATGATAGAGAACACTCATTATTTTTTTTATTTTTTAAAATTCTTTTTTTAATGTTTTATTTATTTCTGAGAGAGAGAGAGCAAGCGAGCGAGCAGGGGAGGGTCAGAGAGAGAGGAAGACATAGAATTTGAGACAGGCTCTACGCTCTGAGCTGTCAGCACAGAGCCTGATGCAGGGCTCGAACCCACGAACCGTGAGATCATGACCTGAGTAGAAGTTGGACGCTTAACCGACTGAGCCACCCAGGTGCCCCGACCACTCATAATTTTGAAAACCAAAAAATAAAGGGAAAGAATCACCTATCCCATCTTTCCTATATAAATTGTATTATAAGATAATCTAATAGTAGATGTATTTGATTATTTGTGTTTCAGCTAATAAATGAAGAAAATTATAGGATTAGAATATCATGTAACCCCTAATTAACTCATGAGTCTAAGCAATAAATATCAATAGCTGCTAAAATCACAAAAAGAGAGAAAACTAGACCTTAAGTGTCTTCTGACAAGAGAGCACAACATACTTTAGGAAGTAGTTTTGCCACAAGAATCAAATGTAAATCCAATTAAATATCTAAATTAAACTACTAATTTATGGGAATACAGAGAGTAGAAGAACATGTTAAATAGCACCACTGGGCTGAAAAAAAGAAATCCAGACTGTGGGAATCTCTACAGGACAAAGAATACAATTTCTTCATGAAATAAATTCTAAGAGGGCAGTGAGGGGAGAAATAAGGATATAAAAGAAACCTGTGAATTAAAAGGCACTTGAAAGACATGTCAATCTACTGCAGTGTGTGGGCCTAATTTGGATTTTGATTTTAAATTAAAGGTTAAAGTGGCATTTATGCAACTGCTATAAACTTGAATACTTGCTTGACATTTAATGATACAAAGAGAATGTTGCTAATTTTTAAGGTGTGATAATGGTGTTAGTAATGTTATATACCTAGCTATTCACAGAGGAAATGATGTAATGTCTCAGATTTACTTTAAAAATAACCCAAGGGCAGCTGAAAAAGTAGGTGTGGACACAAATAAAATAAGATCAGTCCTGTATTGATGATTGCTCAGGCTGGATGAGAATCCATAATGGTTTGCTGTTCTCCTCTTTCCACTTTTCCACATGTTTACATGTTTCCATAATACAAGATTAAAATAAAGCCTTCCTAATGTCATGCTTAGAGTGATAACAGTAGACAGGGTGCCTCATGGTTCTGACAAGTATTCTTAGTCTTATATTTCATGAATAATGGAGAGTTGGGTTGTATGTTTCAGATCATTCATCTAAGGAGCTTCTCTATCATCCAAGGAAGTTCTCCATCGCTTGAGGAGCTTCTCAATCACCCAAGGAGTTTCTCCATCACCCATGGAACTTCTCCATCATCCATGGAGCTTTTACCTAACCTTAGGAGCATCTTTATCACCCAAGGAGCTTCTCCATCACCCAAGGAGCTTCTCCATCACCCATGGAGCTTTTACCTAATCTGAGGAGCATCTCTATCACCCAAGGAGCTTCTCCATCACCCATGGAGCTTTTACCTAATCTGAGGAGCGTCTCTATCACCCAAGGAGCATCTCTATCACCCAAGAAGCTTCTCCATCACCCAAGGAGCTTCTCCATCACCCAAGGAGCTTCTCCATCACCCATGGAGCTTCTCCATCATCCAAGGAACTTCTCTATCACCCATGGAGTTTTTCCATCACCCATGGAGCTTCTCCATCACTCTCCTTACCAGGATACATCAATATGTGCTTGAAAGCATATATGCATACACATAAAAAAAGACTTATCATGACCTAAATATTTTGCTTTGAAGCTGCAAAGGGTGTGAGAGACTGGAGCTTTCATAAAACAATAACATTGGACCAAATTTGCCTGGGACCAGCATTTAATGGAGCTTCTGGTCAGGGGAAGATAAAGACAGTTACAGTTTGAGCTTGGGAGGTGTTTCCATTCTGAAATTCTGAGCAAATAACCAGGCAAATCCGGATGACAAGGGACACTGGTTCTGTTCCCATGCTATTATTTGCATTCGTGCCACTGAGTTTCCTAAATTAGATAATAATGTAGAAAGCACATGTAGGAATAATGTAGGAAAGCAAACTATGCAAATTCTCTATTTGGAGACCCCACAGGTGAGAGAAGTGAAGAGGGTTGAGGAGACAAGAGTGAAACCATAAGCCCCATCACTGGGTGTAGGATGGATGAGAGGGAATCACAGTTAAGGGCCAGGAAGTAGAAAACTGACCGGATGCTTATCTTTAGAAACAGTACCTCCCAGCCTTCAAGGTAAAGCTTGCTGTTTAGAGTGGCTTATGTGGCTTCTGTTTCTTTTGCCAGCCTCCCAAGCATCAGTGTTCAATTGTGCCATCCAGGGTTCAGAGTCCTTTCCATGGGTTTCCTTAGACCCGGGAGCTCACCCCTTTGAGGCACTTCTTACATTGGTAAAATTCCCCATTTTCTTGTCCTTCTCCCCAACTAGTCTGTTATTTCCCTGGGGACAGAAGCTTCTGTCCTTCTTTATAGTATCCTATCACATAGCACAGGGCCTGGCATGCAGAGGTGCTCCCCAAATAGTAACTGCAGGGTTGGAAATCACTATGGGAAGCAGTGTAGGGTGGTGGTATGACTGTGGGCTTCACAGTTAGATGTGAGCTTGACTCACAGCCCTGGCGGCTCACTATACCCACTTTAATGATGCTGTGTTATGGTTTCCAGATTCCCCTACTGACTTACTATAGAACTTAAGATTTTATAAAAACACTGAGATTCACCTGGATAAGGTAACACATATAATTAAATGTCTATCTCTATGTAACGTAACGAATCTAAGAAGACAATCCTAGGAAGATTTCACTACACACCTACCTGGAGTGGTTTCCACAGATGGCCTTACAAACAATACAACCTGAAATTTTAGCTACCCTCAATGCCTTGGGCCTATATTAAAGGGTATGGTGGTGGAACGGACAAAGGAACATCTTTTGAGTAGAAACCATTCAAGCAGAGAAACAAACCTGGGCATCTTCGAATGTGTATCTCCCTCCATCCTTGACATTTTGACTGGTTATCTCGTAGCTGTGAGAATCCAGGTTGATTGCACTTGGTGCCCCCGGAGCCAAAAATTCTTGCCAGATTTCTTCCACCCTCTTGGCCACGTCCTGTAGAGGTTGTTTCTTGAGATCTTGGACAGCCAACCAGAACCTGAAGTGGGAGCATAAAGAAAGTCAGTTCCAGGGGGCTCAGCGTCTGGACTTTGCTGGACATGGTCCCAGAACTGACATCCCATGAAACTCATTCTGTGCATCGCTCAGCCTCCCCGCTGCCACTACCTAGGTAACAAAGACAATGGGGATGCTGAAAATTCAAAGGGTCCTCACTTATTGTGGAGAACAGAAAGGAAGTGCACATTAGAAAATCATTGTGCTTCTGGTTACCAAAAAGAGGTTTCTTTCCCTTTACATCAAGGTTTCTCAACCTCAGCACTATTTCCATTTTGGGCTCAATAATTCTTTGTGGTGGGGCTTCCCTGTGCATTGTAGGATGTTCAGTGGCAACCTTGGCCTCTACCCACCAGATGCCAGTGGTACCCCAAGTTGTGACCATCAAAAATGTTTCCATATATTGCCAAACATCCCCTGGGAGGTTAAGTCACCCTTGGTTGAGAGCCAGTGCTCTATATAGGTGCCCTGACACAGACAAGGTGGCTTCCCTTGTCATGTCTGGTTGGGATCAGCTGGCAGCATCAAAAGGAAGGAAATCACAGAGGCAGGTGGAATCTTAGGATCATAAAGAATATCTGAGCTGGAAGGATCCAGCTATTCATGTTACAGATGGAAAAAGAGCCGATTTGCAAGGTCATTGTCCAGCATGGTGTTTAGCATTTCGTAGGTGCTCAGTAAACGGCTGTTGGATTGAAGATGGGCTCATCAGAAACAAAGCGGAAGAGGCATACACGGGGAACCTCTATGCCAAAAGATTTTCCAGGGAGCGCTGGAGAAAAAAGCCTCTTGCTCGCTTCCTTATGTGCCTTTCATGAATTTCTTAGCATCAGCATGGCAGCGGCCTTTGGAAGAGCTGGGTGTGAGCTCTTTTCTGCTGAGAGTCGTAGCAAACAGGACTAAGCTTGGACAACAGTTCTGGGTTGTGAAGATGGTTTCCAAGGCGGCCCGGGGGAGGGCTTGCAGCAGGACCCAGATCTGGGTGGCACACTTTGTGCCTTGTGAACAAGACAGGCCAGTTTCCCCATCAGTGAGACATGAAGACAGGCCCCGGGCTATGTTATTCTCACAGCCACAGGATTCACAGGTACTCAAGTCAATGAAAGGACAGAGACAAGAGAAGCTGAACCACGGCCTGGTGGAAAGTGCATTCAATCTGTCATCGAATTGCACCCAAAGTAAGACGTACTTGTTTTTTCCTTTTTTTTTTTTTTTTTTTTTTTTAAAGGTTAAGCATGTTTTTCTGGTGCTGTTCATAGAATTGTCTTTGGAGCCAAGTGCATGGCCCAAAGGCACCACTCAGTGGCCAACTGTGGAACTACAGCTCCATTTCCACAAGGAGAGGTGCGTGCAAGGGGCAGAGTGGACTCCTACTCTTCCCCTGTGTTGCCATTTGGGATTCTAATAGTTTCTTTAAAGAAAACCCTCATGGTTCCTCTGTTGGTCCTGAAGAGCGAGAGGCAAGGAAGGCGACTTAGTGACCTTAGTTGACCAGAAGATCAGAAAACACAGTTCTGTCATCTTGACTATGCTGCTGTCTTGGAATTGTGCCTTTCTAGGCATCTCTTTCCTCATCTGTAAAATGGGTATGAAGTGGGTGGCAAGATATGTGATGTGGATCTGAAGAACTTCCCATCTGGTGCGACTGAAATGCTTTCAGGTCCCGGGGGTGGGAGCCGTGGAGGGGTCAGAGTGTTAGGCATAGTTTCAGGGCAGGGCTTTCTCCTTGGGGGGGCCAGGCAGAGGCTGCAAGGGGCTCTTGCTGTTGCTATCTGTCATTACTTGGCCCTCCACACTGGCTGCCTTTCTTTCTGCCACAGTTCTGTAGCTCATGTCCTCTGGCTACTGGGGAGGGAACAGTAAGTGTTTTCTGAGCAGAGGGCAAAGGGGTAGAGGGAGAGTTTTAGCGGAACTGCAAACCTGCTTGGATATTCGGGGGCCCCGGAGACCCTGTGCGGGGGGGCGAGGCTCTTCTACTTCCCAGCCCCTGTGGCTCAGGTTCCTTAGGCATCTCCATCCCACCCTCTAGGACTGCCATGGAATGAAGGACGTGGCCGCAACACTTACAGATGAACATGGCCATCTGATGACGACAGCGCTTCTAGGCTTTCTTTGTCTGGAGGGCAGTGTTGGATGGACGGGTGAGATTTAGGAAACCCAGCTCTGAAGAAGGAGGCTGGTGTGGGTTTTTCAAAGGACTGGAAGGAGGGCTGGTGGGCAACTCACCAGTCGGTGAATCTTTTTGCAGTCGCGTGCTGGGGCTGACAGAAGGGCCCTCCCACTGTGGGGATGCTGTGGGCATGAGCACTGGGTGTTATATGGAAACCAACTTGACCATAAACTATTTGTAAAAAAAAAAAAAAAAAAAGAAGAAGAAGAAGAAGGGCCCTCCCCTCCCTCAGGGAGTTGCCTCTGGGGTGAGTCCCCAGGCTGGAGACAGCTTCTCTGGGCCAGCATCGTCCCCAGCCCTACCAGACCCCGACCCTTCAATTTCTTACACAAATGGATGGTACCCAGGCAATCTGCTCAATGTCATGTGGGGCATCACCTTCTGTCACCTTCTGTCCCTTGCTCCAATCTGCTCTGAGGAAGGGCTCTCAAGCTCCGGGAAGGCCCTGAGGACCCGGCAGCTTCTGAGCTCTGCAGGCTCCTGCGGTTCCTGGGGCCTCAGGGCCCCTCTGGCAGGATGATTTGGGAGCCACATTAATGCACATCACTTAGTTGCATATAGAGAAAGTCTAAGGTGGATATAAATGGAGATTTCAGAATCAAATATAACCAACTTTGACACAAACAATTAAAAGGCTCCCTTTTTCATAAACCAAGATTTTTTTTTTTTAAGTATGAGAAGAAACAGGTCTGCTAGGTGAGGAGGAGGAGGAGATGACATTCCTTAGACAGCAGCATTCCTTCCCTGCTCTCACAGGGACCCTCTCAGCCTTCTGTCTGCTCTGGAGGTGACCTGCCTTATCCTTCTCAGGTGACAGCAAAAGTGCTGTCACAACAGCATCCCGACATCCATTCGTGTTTACCATCGCCGGCTCCGAAGAACCTCTGTGTCGATTTGAAATTCAGAACAGGCTCCGGTTTGCGTTTGCCATCTGTGAGCCCACAGGCCTGGGGCCCCGGCTGCCCGGCCACACTCTCCTCGCCAGAGCCACCGAGCTCCCCGCCGCACGCCTATTGTGGAGGCGAGGCCCACGGAGGCCCGGCGGCTTCCTCCTTATCAAAAGCCCGCAGGTAGTGCTCCCTGTGGAGGACGCCAGCAGGGAGCGAGAGGCCGGCAGTGGCAGCAGATCTGCCCATCCCGCACTAAGCCTCTACGGCTTGCTGCAGAAGGGCTGTCATGACTGGCAGGCCACAAGGACGTGCTGGTATCAGGGAGCCCATCTGTCCTGCTCCGCGGGAGTCGTCAGAGCATGGGCGGCAGCCTGTGTGCCGGCATGCGATCTGTGTCGATGGCTCAGGAATGCAGGCCAGACACCGGCCTTTGTGAGGAGGCAGCCCGGGCTCGGCGGCGCCCCAGGGCCTGGTGGCCGTGGGGGGGACTTGGGGGCAGGGCTGGCCCAGGTGGCCTCCTCTGTCTCCAGGACTGTGGTGCTGGCGGGGAGTGGGGTTTTCTCCTCGAGGCTGGCTGGAAGCAGGAACACCACGCGGCTGTCAGCATTCTCCATCTTGCCAGGGGGTCTGGGCAGCCCGTCGCTTCTTAGTTTACTTATTTTTTTTGGTCATAAACTAGGATTCTCACAGCTTAGAAAAATCCAGCTTTTAGTTTGTTCTCCAAGAAAAGCAAACTCTAAGCCGAAGGAAGGCTTTCTGTGCCCTCTGCTGGCCAACAGAGACTCCGGAACAATGGATGCAACTTGACTTGGTTCCCCCATTGGGGAGAGGTCCTCCAGGGCCCACAAACGGCCACGGCCACCAGCACCACAGCAGCCGAGTTACGTTCACTGGGCAGTGGCTGAAGTGCCACAGATTGTCATGGTGATGTGTGAGTCACCTCTGTTCCTATTAATCATGTGTTTGGTTAGTGGTGAGTCCCGCTGGGCCTCGCGAAGCTTCCCAGTTCCTCCCAGGACCTGGGGCAATGACTGGAGATGGGAGCTCTCCAGGCAAACCTGGAGACTCCCCCTGTGCTCTCTTTAATTGCTTCTCCCTTCAGCTGACACTGTGTGGAACGGGGATAATCAATCTGCAGGTTAGAAGAACAACCACGTTCTCTCAGGAGACGTTACAGCTCATAAAAAATGTACGGGGAATGCTCTTTGCTGTGGGTTTTGATTTTTAACTCATGCCCTGCCATGCAGCAGAGGGTGTCAAGCCAGGGAGGACACAGGTTTGTGAAGGGGAGACAGCGAGAGGGCAGAGGTAGCTGAGGGGCTCCTGTCGCCAACCTGGGAAAATGCATGGAGAAGGGAGAAAGACGAAGTCAGATAATGCACTCGAAGTCCTTGCTTCAGGGCCTTGAGGCTCTGGTCTCGTGAATGGGAGCCCACGTGCATTCGACAGGCCCTGAGCAAACAGCTGTCTCCAGGGGCCCACCCTGTCCAAAGGGAGCCCCAGGCTTCATGCAGGGTGCCCCAGAGAGGGCACATTCTCACTCTGTGCTGGCTGCAGCAAAATGCACTGGCCATGCCCGCTCCAGGCCCTGAAGATGATGCCCTTATCTCATCTCATGGGCTCACACACACACACACAAAAGATATGAGGGGACTTGAACTGACATTGTATTATCACAGACATCTTTCCTTAAAGCATCCAGGGTGATGCTGTGAGAGTGATTTATATGTCTCTTTGGGGTTCTTCTGTTCGGCACCCTGAAGCTGTTACAGATCCAACCACTTGGCTACGTAACTGGCACTCTAGGTGCTGTGCAAAAGTGTTGGGATCTAAGCACCCCTTTAGCTAGAGATACGCAAGGGAGCACAGGAAGACAAAATGGAGATGCCCTTTGCAGTATATCCAGTTGAGTTCTGGTTGGTCTCTTTGCCTTGCAGCCTCTGATGCCAGTTGCCCGGGCTGTTGTTCAATCCTGGGGAGAAGAGATGACCCTCCCAGTGTGGCCAACACAACGGGCTGGCAGGATCCCTGAGTTGTGCCTCACATACAGCTCCAGGGGGCGCCATTCCCAGGGCTGGGGGTGCATCTGCAGGGTGCCATGGCTGCCTGGATCGCTCTGAGTCCTTGGGCCCTGGGTCATGGTGGGCGCCAAGCCAATATCTGTGGCCCGAGGAAGGAACACAAAGGGGAGGGGAGAAACCACCTGGTTATGGATGATGGAAGAGTCCTAAGTAGTTGTGTGATTTCAAACTGAACTTCCCCCCATACATCCAATTATGCTGAATATCATAAAAGTGGAACTTGGGCCTCCACAGAGGATTTTATAAGCTCTTGGGCTGTACTTTTTATCTCCGGCTGTTCTATTTTCTTTATCCTCTCTCCTGTCATGGATCAGAGGGGACCTTCTTTAAGTGTGGATTTATGCATTCATGCTGGGGGTTCAGATTAGTCACTGGCACACTCACAAGGGCCCCCACACAGTGCCCCCACACAGTCTTTCACCTAAGGTCGAATGCAGCCTCCTGGCACGGGAGGAAGGCGCTGGCGGAGGCGCGAGAGGTAACAGCAGGATGAGGTGCTGAGCGCCTGCCAGGGACACACTCCTCCATGCACTCTTGGCCTCAAATGTAATGCGTTTTCGTTACACTGGTCCGAACCAATGTGTGGCTCTGGCTACACTCAGCCTGGGCAGGAGGTGCTGAGCCAGCAGATGTTCCCGCTCAAAACGGCCAGGACCCTGTGGTCGTTCTTCAAAGTCTCTGTAATGGTGCGGGTGGCAGAGGGTTATAAGGCCACTAATGGGCTGAGAAATAGTCAGGTAAAGGAGGCTTCTATACCATTTTATGTCAGGGGGCTGTGTGGGACAGAGATGAGAAAGAGAAATGGTCTCCCAGGGGCGGCTCATGGGGACCAAGCTCATGGGTCATAGGTCTTGGGGCTGAGCTGGGGGCGCAGAGAGGCTGTCTGAGTGCATCTGTTGGCCATCGAGGGCGTGGCTTCCTAATCAGGATTGACCTCCATGCATGGCCTGGGAACTGCTCTCAACAACACCCTAATGAGGAGTTTTAGAATCAAGCCTTCTGTTACCAATGCTTGATTTGCAAATCTCTGAGGTGTGTTTAGAATAAAAGCTCAGTGGTACCTGGGTGGCTCAGTAGGTTAAGCATCTGACTTCGGCTCAGGTTGTGATCTCACGGTTTGTGGGTTTGAGCCCCATATTGGGCTCTGTGCTGACTGACAGCTCAGACCTTGGAGCCTGTTTCAGATTCTGTATCTCCCTCTCTCTCTCTGACCCTCCTCTGCTCATGCTGTCTCTGTCTCTCTCTCAGAAATTTAAAAAAAAAAAAAAAACATTAAAAACATTTAGAATAATACCTCAGTATAAGGAAAGAAATCTTCTGTCCTGACCTAGTATCGGATATACAGCCTTATCTGTTTTTACAATAGGCACATGGCTGACTAGAAAGGCATAGATGCATAAGGTTAACTGGGGTCTACACATCCTCCTGAGATGGTGTGATGTAGGAGACCCCCACCCCGCCCCACCTTTGCTCATTTGGTCTTCCTGCTGAGAATACTCTCCTTCCTTCTTTTTTGTCTATTGGTATCCTGTGTTCTTCAAAGACCAGCTTATGAGTGGCCTACTCTGGCTTACATTCATCCCTCCCTTTTTAAAAACACTTCCCAAACAGTTCTTAGTGTTTTCACTCATTTATATTCATTTAATGATTTAATAGTTTCTTGTGTTTTTTCCTCAAGGGCCTACATGATCATTGTAGGTAAAGATCATGCATCTTGACTTTTCTGCATCCCTCAGCAGATCTTACAAGGGCTTGACACAGCATAGGTGTGTGATAAATACCGCTTGATTGATGTGTGGGACTGATAAGGTCTCTACTGCCAAATAAATAACACGGACTCTGCACATTAACACTGGAGCGGGGAGTCCTTTGCCCACAGTAGTTTTCTGACTTTTTAAAGAATATTTAAAAAATCAATAAAATCCCCTTTCTGAAAAAAAAAAAAAAAAAAAAAACCAAAACATTGGAAGATGGGAGTTAACCCAGCATATATATAAAAAAAAAACCTGGTGCCAAGAAACCCCCCCGAGATTTCTATCTGAGAAGTCACAGTTTGCTAATATCACTAAGAGGTCTGACACCAGTCACCTTTTCCATAGCCTTCTGTGTCTACATCTTATACAACAGAAGCCTGAATAAACCACACATTCCCAAACTTTTCATGAAACAGACCCTTTCCCGTTGAATGCTCTCCCTTTCTCCCCTCTCTCAATGGACCTCATGTTTTGAAAGTTTTGGTTTTTTTCCTCTACTGAACAGTAATTATTAATACATCAATACATTTCCCCTCGTCTTGATTAGCTGGAGACCAATGGAAACGATCAGATGTTCTCACTGGCAGCAGGTGACCAGAGCAAACACTACATGAAGTTGATAGAATTCCCCCCAAAAGGAAAGGCATATTTTAATTAGCTTTTACAGATATGTCTCCAGGTATTGAATGGTATTTACTTTGGCTTTTTGAAATTCTGAAATGAGCTCAGGGATGCCTCTTTTATTGCCCGGTTAGCTTGTCAAGTACTCAGGACCTCAGACTGAGAAGTTTTGAAGGAGAGGGTCTCTAAGCTGTCTTTCCACTCTGAAGCTCCATGGTTTTATGGTTTTAGTTAATGCACGGTGTCATCCAACCCATTTGATCATTTGCTTATTATTGCAGACATGTTTCCAATAACTTGAACAAATGTTTGGACTTAAAGAACAAAATGTTGGTTAGGGTAAGTGCTACCATGGTGATACCAAAGTTGCACCTCAAGTTTGTCCTTCACTTCAACCTTAGCCAGATTAGCTGGAATTTGAGTTTGAACAATCACATTACATTGAGAAAGGGAGGCAGAAAGAGAGACCGATCGTGCAAATTTCCTTGTACACACTCTGCACACTACTTTGAGAGAGTTACCTGAGGTTTTCTGAACTGAATTCGGACTCCAGGAATCTTAGGAACTGGTCCCGACCCACCTGGTCCTTCAATACCTCGTCGAAAGAGAAGCCCCATCTCTTGACTCGCTGCTGGCTGGGCTCCTTGCTTTTGGGGAGAATAAAGGTTTAAAAGATGATCAATTCCAGGCAAAAACCTGTGTCCTATTCCCACTAACAACTCAAATCTATTTTGCTGCCACATGCCAAAGGGCAATGTTTCAAATTTAAGTGATAGATTCTATAAAACCTGCACAAGGTCCAGGTGCAAACTTTTACACATCAGCCAACAGTAGAATGTCTCTTGAGAGAAGGCATTTGAAAGGGGCAACATTTAGGTGAGGCTCAGGATACCGGCCAAGTGGCTGATGTCTGGAGGAAATAAAACAACCCCCATTTATTTGGCTTCACTGGACCACTGCTGTCAGTTATAGCCTGACTCTCAGCTCCACCATTTTTAGTCTTATTTAGATCCAAGTGACATAAAATTGGTCAGAAATGACCAAGGATAAACCTTAGTCACTTACTTGGAAACAGAATGTTGCCTTCATTTAACAACTGTCTGCTTAGTGTTTATGATGTTCTAGGCATTGTTCCAAGCACCTTCACTCTGTTAACTCTTGGAGTCCTCACAACTGCTCTGTGAAAAACGTACTGGTACTTTCCCCATTATACAGATAGAAGAACTGAGGTCTAGTGGGCATTTGCCCAGGGACACGCTAGGAAGTGACGGAGTCAAGACGAGTCCAGACCCCATGGCTCCAGAGTGCAGCTGTGCTGATTCACACCCACGTAACCCTCCTCAAACCACATGACCTTCCTCAGACCATTTCCTTCAGCTCTGTCTTTCCATTTGCAGTTCACTTGTGTATTTATTCCCCTGACCCTCCAGGCAGCAATAGGGTCCTAGTTCACAAGCGGCACACTCTAACCGCCCATGCAAGGAGTGGTCTGTGGACCAGCAGTGGAATCTCAGGCCACACCTCAGACTTGTGGATTCGGAATCCACAGCCCAACAAGATCCCTTGGTGATTTAAGTGCTCATTAAACTTTGAGGAGCAGGGCACCTGGGTGGTTTCCTCAGCTGAGTGTCTGACTTCAGCTCAGGTCATGATCTTGCCATTCATGAGTTCAAGCCCTGCATTGGGCTCGCTGCTGTGGGCTCAGAACCTGCTACAGATCCCCTGTCCCTGCCTCCCTCTTTCTGCCCCTCCCTTGCTCACACACACACTCTCTCTCAAAAATAAAAATTAAAAAACCCAAACTTTGAGGAGCATTGGTCTGGCATTACTTATTTTCCCACTTTTAAAAAACAGACACATACCTTTTATTATCTCTAAAAGGCATTAAGTGAATAAAACCATGGAGTTGATATTTTCTCTATATTTATCATAGAAAATTACACTTAGTGAAAAGGGAGAAGAGTGTGTGTGTGTGTTGAAAGGTTTGGAAAAACAAATAGCTCTAGCCCAGTGTTGCCCAACAGAACTTTCTGCTATGATAAGAGTACTCCATATCTGTTCCCTCTACATAGTAGCCAATAGACACATGTGGTTATTGAACACTTGAAATATGACTAGTGTGATGGAGGAACTGGATTTTAAATTGTATTTAACTTTAGATCATTAAAGTTTACACCTCAGGGGTCACATGTAGCTATGACTACTGTATTGGAAGGCAGACCTTTGGACTGAAGTGATTCAAGCCCAACCCTTCTATTTCTGCACAGCTAGGCATAATCAGCAGCAGCAGCAGCATCCTCTAACTCTGAGATTGTGTCTGGGGGTTGGGGAGAATCTTGTGAACAACTCTGAACCGCCAGGCTTAGCCCAGCAGGGTCACGGGGAAGGCCACGACCATCAGGTCAAGCACGGGGACTTCTGTGAAACATGTCTTCCAAAGTTCCAGGGTGGGCCTTTTACAACAAGACAAGAAGATGGATCCTGGAATCTCCCAAACTCAAGCCACAGAACTCAACACACTTGATAGCTTTCCAGGGGACAGAAACTACTGTTTATGGAGAAGTCCCCCCTGAGATTGAGGATAGCAGCAAATGTGAGCCCCAGAGAACCATAGCATATTGTCTCATTCTGCCAGGGTCACGCTGTGAGCTGGAGTGGGCTCGACCATTTGTTCTTTGCCAGCCAAGCTTGTAGGGCTCTGTAGGGATGGTGCTGGTGGAAGCTTCACCTTGATGGAAAGCTGTGTCCCAGAGCTAGGTGTTAGAAAGTCACTCCGTTTTTGTAGTGACTGCCTCATGTATGCACGCGACTAGTGTCACCACTTTCTGGTACCCAAGCAGTGGTTCCACATTCATCCTACCAGGTTACTTGGTGGTATCAGGGATGGGAGAAAGGTCATTTTCGGGACAGGCTAGAAAGCTTGAGCTGTCACGCTAGATGCAGAATCAGAGACATAGGACAGAGATCGGGACATCCAGAAAGCTGCAACGTCAGACTTCAGCATAAGGTGGTCCATAGAGACAGGGCACCCTGATGTCCTAGTTTCCTAGGATGGCCATGAGAAAGTACCAACCAACTGGATCCTTTAAAATAGCAGAAATGTATTGTCTCATAATTCTGGAGGCTCGGGGTCTAAAATCAAAGGTGTTGGCAAGCTCTCTCTGAAGGCTCTAGAGGAGAATTTTGTTTTATGCCTTTCTCCAGTTTCTGATGTTGCCAGCAATACTTGGTGACTCTTGGCCTACAATACATCACTCCAATCTCTGCCTCCGTCTTCACACGGTCCTCTCCCTGTGTGTCTGACTTCATGGGGCATGCACTCTGCATGTGTCTGTGTCTGTTTTCTCGTTCTATAAAGATACCAGTCATATTGGGTTTGGAGCCCTCCTACCCCAGTTTGACCTCATCTTAACTGACTGCATCTGAAACAGTCTTATTTCCAAATAAAATCATATTTGAAGGTTCTGGGAAGGGTATGCATTTTGGAGTGACACTATTCAACATCTGGGTTCCCTCAACTATCCATTATTCCCAATCCTCTTTCCATATGTGCATGCTCCACATTTGCTCCTTTTTCTCCTAGTACGTGTGGTTATTGGATCTATTCTATGAAGAGCTTCTTGGACACAACTTCTTTCTATGTCTGTTTCTTCCATCACTTGGGTATTTCCAAGCATCATCCTGTTTAAGGTTCAAGATCAGATTTGAACATGTTGCTACCACTGAATAGACTCTAGTTAGAAAATACTTTTGAAAATTAAAACATCTCCAGGTGACTGGCACAATAACTTTCCCTTGGCTCAACTCAAATAAATAATTCATGGAACTCACAGCCCCTTTGTTCCCAACCACTGTATTGAGATGCTTCCTTATGACATACATTTGCATCATCACTTAGCTTTTTGAGGGTAGGTCACTGTCTCTCCAGCTATCTTGTGAGCCCTTTAAGGGCGGAGACTATGTCTCATGCATTTTTGTATTCATCATAGCATTTTCACACATCAAGCATTCAACTCTAAGTGGAAATCAGTAAGAAAATGTAGATAGTGATGTGGGTGATGTGTCCTTATCCTGACAGTATTTTCTAATTGCTAGCTGGATGTCTTTTCTTTAATTTGTCTTCTGTGCTCCCTGATTCTTACCAAATTCTTACAGCCCACTGGGCAGCCCAAACCATATACAGCAAAGACAGGTGGCTCTCCAAGGGAGTCAGTCTTTCATTCCAGCTGATCCCCCAACCTAAGAGCATGGTAGAAATTGCCCACATTGAGAACAAGAAAGCCAGGTTCAGAAGAAGTGGCCATCTATATTGAATCTCAATATATGCCAAGGAGGTAGATATTTGTACTTAGATGTCCAGAGCTCAAGAGAGGTCAGATTGCTCAAAGCCACACAGTCTGGAATTGGTACCTAGGTCTGCCTGTTTCTAAAGCCTGTTCTTTTATGCCTACTACCTTGCCTTCCACTACATTTCCCTCATTTGAGGTCCAAACTAAGATTTGGGGAAATACATAAGCCATCTTGAAAAGACTTTTGAGTTTTTAGAAAAATTATGAAAGAGCAACTATCCAATGATAGCATTTTAGGGTCAAGGCTATCGAAGGAATGATGGCAATTTTATTTGATGCCCCTAGAATAGCCTGAGGGTCCTGAGTACTTTGATGGGGAGTGGCTCAGGTGTGTATTGCTCTGTAATGAATCATCCCAAAACTCTGGCTTAAAATATTGATGGATTATTCTTTCTCACTGTCCCCTGGGTTGACTGGGGCTCAGCTAGGTGATATGAGGTTTCTCAAGTAGTTGTAGCTGGAAGTTGGGGTGGGATCATCGAAAGGCAGGATCCATCTCTAGGTTGAAGCAGGAGGTTGGCACTGATCCCAGACTCTGTACTTCTCCAAAGGTAGATTCCTAACCGCTGCCTGTATCTGAGTGAGTAGGAATGTCCTCCTGGGAGAAGAAAGGGCCCCACAGCTTCTCTTTGTTTTCACTTGTATCTAGATCACTTGACTCTGCTTGAATGTACACAGAATGACACAGGGGTTAGGCATTCTGGTTAGAGTAGAAGCCTAAGCAATAAGAGCAGAACCAGAGCACTAGTTGTAGGAGCAGATAGCATCCCCTTGGGGACAAAGTGCTGATAGATTGGGATAAACTAACAGGTCTGGTGACCACCACTTCCCCGAATGATCATATACTTTTTTGCTGTCTTTCCAGAAAGAAGGGGGAAATTCCAGTGTCATCAGGGTCAATTATGTTTGGGTCACTTACCTCCTCATTTCCCAAATACCAAAGAAATGATCAAAGAAATAGCCTCTCCTTCATCTATCTTCCATCTAACCCATGCTTTTTGAATGCCTACTATGTGCCAGCCATTATCCCATTAAAGTCCTAACTAGAAAGAGAACCAGGAAGAGGATGTGATAGAGAAGAGCTGGATGGATGGGGTGACCACTACAGGGTGAGAAATCACAGATGACCTTTCTGACGAAGGGACACTGATGCTGACTGAGAAGTGAAACCAGCCATGAGAGGTTCTGAGGAAGTGGTCCAGGAAGAAGGGACAGGCAAGAGTCTGGAGTTCAGTAAAACAGAATTAAAAAGAAAACAAACAAATCCACAGTATGTAAAGGCAAAGGCATTTGCTATC